ATTTATTTATTTATTTATTTATTTATTTATTTATTTAGTTATTTTGGAGGGGTACTGGAGATCAAACTCTGGACCTTGTGTTTGTGAGGCAGGTGGCAGAACCACTGAGCTAAATCCCCTGGTCCAAAACCGGAAAAATTCCATTTCAGTCTCCCCTCCAATTCGGTTCATTCTCCCCTGTCTCGTTTTGTTTTGTTTTTGTTTTTGGTACCGGCAGTTGAACTCAGGGCCTTGTGCTTTCGAGGCAGACAGTGGAACCACTGAGCTAAGTCCCTGGCCTTCCCCTGACTCATTTTGGATGGAGGGCCATTTGTGCCACCGTAATCCAGAGACATCTGATAATGTATAGGACTCTCAGCTGGGTCCAGTTGCTTGGATCCAACATAGGTCCTGCCCCTGGGGATAGATGGGCTGCTGGTCGCCAACAGCAGGTCGGTCGGGAGGTCATGGCCTCCGGGAGGCCCTATGGAGTCCAGTAGAGGACTAACTCCCTGCTGTGCTAATTCCCTCCTGCTTCTCTCCCCTCCCCGTCTTTGTTCTTTAGGGATATGACATCAGCTTTCTGATCACCAACTTCCACACAGAACAGATGTACAAACACAAGTTGGTGGACTTTGTGATCCACTTCATGGAGGAGATCGACAAGGAGATCAGTGAGATGAAACTGTCAGTCAACGCCCGTGCACGCATCGTGGCTGAAGAATTCCTCAAGAACGTAAGTGGAGTCCTTCCTGGTGTCCTGCCGGGTGGGACAAGCCCTGGGCTGTGTGGTAAACTTAGCATCTGATGGGAAAGCGGTGCCTGCAGGTTGTTCACGTCTCCCAAGGCTGCGGGTTCTCCGGTTCATGGACAGTTACTTGTTGCCTTGGAGTGGAAAGGCCCGGCCTGTGGTTCATCTTTGAGTGATGCAGAGTATGGGATATTAATCAGATCCACTACTCACAGATTTAAATACTTCTCTTTAAAATCTGTTTCTCAGGCACTAAGGGATAATTTCTTCAACCTCTTTCCGATTGCTTTCAGGGTTTTGGGCCTCCAGGTTTTTCTGAAATTGTGGCTTTTTAACTGAAAGGACTGCAGCCCTCTGGAGATAAGGAATTA